AAAAAAAAAAATTCATTTTTCTCTCCCTTTTTATTTTTTCTTCATATTTTTGTTGTTGTGTTGTTTTGTTTTTGATAATTTTGTAGGATGATGAGAGTTTGAGGAGGTGGAAAGAACAGCTTCTGGGGAGTGTGGATATCAATGCTGTTGGAGGTATTTGTTTTTAATTTTTTTTTTTCACATTTTCATATAAATTGGGAAGATGCTAGGGTCCCGGAATTATTCTGTCGGGGTTTGTAACTATCCCCGACAGTTACATGATAGATCTATAGGTTACAAATAAATTGCAATGGTTTTTAGGTACAATCCAAGGATGCTCTGAATTATAACCTGTTTTTGTCCTGTTTTTAGAAGAGTCACTTTTATCATATTATGGCTCTACAATGATCATATACTTATTTCTGTTTGGAAGTGTTCCAAATATATGATAACATTTTTTTCCCTTAATTGTGAATTGAATTTGTGCTTGATCAAATATAAATGATGATCGAGCAAAACTCGAATCAATCGACACTAGCAAAACTCGACTATTATTGGCCGATTAGGCGAGATTCTAGTCTTTTTGTATCTAGAGAGTATTGATCATGAAGCTATTTATTTATTCATGTGACTTTTTTTATTACTTTTGTAGAAACACTCGATCCGGATGTGAAATTCTTGAGCCTTGCAATAAAATCTCCCGGGAGAAATGACATATTGTTGTCAGTCCCAGAGGTTGGAAATCCTAAAAGCCCGTGGTTTACTTTGAAAGAGGGAAGCAAATATAGCCTCGAGTTTACTTTCCAGGTCAATAACAACATTGTATCGGGCCTCAAGTACAAGAACAATGTCTGGAAAACCGGCATTAAAGGTTTTGATAATAATAATAATAATAATACCTGATTAATTTTCACGCCTTCTTTTTATTTCGATGTTATTACATTAGCTGTACAATCAACACCTTCCAAACAAACTAAGACTGATCTTTTTTTTTTTTTTTTTTGCAGTGGACAGCACGAAAGAGATGATTGGGACATTCAGTCCTCAGCCAGAACCTTATAAGCACGAGATGCCCGAAGAGACTACTCCGTCTGGCATGTTTGCAAGGGGTTCGTATTCGGCAAGAACACAGGTAATTTACTAATTTTCGATTTGGCTCATTCGTGTTTTCTTGTTTCAACCTGTTATGTCTGATGATCTTTTGGGGTTCATTTGTTGTTTGTGCAGTTTGTTGACGATGATAACAGATGCTACTTGGAATTAAACTATACATTTGAGATCAAGAAAGAGTGGCAGCTGACATAAAACCAGTCTCTGAATCCCTTTCTGCACCAAGAATGTATCTCTTATCAGCTTTCGACTATCTATTGTTTTTTTTTTTCGATTGTTTGTTTTAATGTGGTTGTTGTAAATATTTTTAACCGGAG